TCTTCTCCTGCTTTTAGTATTGATTTCTGCTGGCAGTTGTTTTCCATTTCTCCCTCCCTCTGACCTCATCCATGGTCTTTTTTTACCCAGTCTGCAGTAGGCCATGGTCAGTTTGTTGGATACCTTCCTACACGTCTCTCTCAGCTCATCCTCCCTTTGTTTGTTTTTCTGTTCTGTCCATCTTTTTTGCATCCTTCTATTCCTTGCTCTTCCCTACAACTCAGCATCAACCCCCTCTAGTATTCATTGGTATTGTGAGGGCATTTGCTTTCCATATTCACAACCTGAGGCTGGCATCCCTTTTCTTTGATTATTTATGTCTGTTAGCTCCTTCTTGGGTGTTTCTTCTTCTCCTACCTACCTTCTTTTATGGTGGCTATTTGATTGAGGGTTTTAATCTTAGATCTAAGTCCTTTCTCACACCCACTCAGTGTTGATTACTTTGGGGCATTTTCTTCTTTCATCTCACTGCCTTTTGTATATTTTCTTTACCTGTCAGCTATGGTATATCTCTTCACCAGGTTCATTCACTTTTGGGGACCCTGACTTTGCTAGAATCCCTCATCCCCTTGGGGCATGACCTCGTATTTCTCCAGCAGTGGAGCTTGTGGACCTTAAGTTTTTTTTTTTTTGTTTTTTTCTCTGGGTTCTTTTTCTCTTGTGAGCCTCTTGTCAAGGAATTGTCATAGTGACTGGGTCCTGCCTATACTACTTCCATGCATTCTTATACCATCTCTCAAACTAGATCTTTCCCTTCTTCACTGGCTCTCCCCTCTGAATGAGGTACACTTTCTGATAAGAGCAGGACTTCCAACAATTGGATGCTGGACTCCAGCATGCTCAACCTACTTGTTCTTTGTCGGGCCTGTTCTATGGTCTTTTCCTGCTTGAACCATCCTTGTGACTGCTGTTGCATGACCTTTTTGTTTTGGGCATTAATCATACACTTCTGAGCCTGTTCACATACTTCTCCAAGAGCTTAAACCTTGTTGATGGACTGCTTCACTCAATCATTCCATATTATATCAATAAAATAATCTCTACACCCTCAGGTCTTCCATGGGGTTTATCCTTGGTTGGACATGTCCTTCTTGGCTGATTTTGTTTTTCCCCACCCTTCTCAACATTGGGCTTCCTCTCTAATGGTCTTGTGTTCCTCATCCTTAGGATTTTACTGTCAGTTTCTTAGTCAGCCCTGGTCTTACCTCTTTCTATATATCTGCTTCCCAATTTGTCTCCTCCTTCTGAGCCTTGGACTTGCACAGTATTGTCCTTCTTGGATCCTGTTGTTGATGCTTCTTTGACCACCATAGCCTTGGTCCTCTTTATATTCAGACCTCACTTTTTCTTCCCATTATCCTCACTCTCTATCTTGTTTCTCACTTTCACACCTCCCTTCTTAGAGGGATATTCTCCCTCCACCCTTATGCATTGAATCTGCCTGATCTGTTGCCTATCGGGCCAGACTTTCCACTGATGTGACATTATTTTTGTTACATTCTTGTAGTCATTACACTATATTTGTCCATCACCATTCGTGGTGGGTCTTTTGTCATTGATTATTCTGCCAATCCTTTTCCTCCTGTCAGTAATTCTGTGCATCACCTTTCTGCTTTTCTTACCTCTTGCATGAAAATAATAAAGCAATGATCACTTGCACTTAGATGTACCTGAAACTATCTGAATGGATTATTCCAGTTTTAAAAAATATATTTTTTAAGCACTGTTTTTAAATTCAAGTAAACACTAGTTTTCCTTCTTATTCTTTTTGTAAAGTTTTTATGGTTAGGTGATAAATTTTGAAAGGAATTTCATCATAAATTTTATCACAGGGAATTTTTTGAGCAGATGTATAATATAGTTTAATTTTTTTTTTTAATCAAAATGTTGACAATCACATGAGATGTTGGTTACATGTAATTTTTATCTTAAATAAGTTTGAGAAGTGTAGATAATAGCATGTATACTAGAAAGTATAATGTAAGACTATAATTTAATTTTGTGTATACTTTTAAAACAGATAGCAAATCGAGGACAAGTCATACAAGTTAAGGTTCTTGGAACCATGGCACTTGTTGATGAAGGTAGGAATTTATTATCATTAGATTTATTTGTAATTTCAATAAATTATTTTCATAACAAGCTTATAACCTTTGTTAAATATGAATTCATTCTTTCTAATGCTTTTGTCTTTTAACTTGTGTATTTCTTAATATTTATTAAGATATGAAATGAATTGATAAATGTGTTATAAGTTGATACTTGAAACTATTGGTACTTGGTGAAACTCCATAATTACAGAATTGAGGAAAACAAGACAGTTGTACATTTCACAAATACATCATTTGTTCAGTAAAGAAGTGACCTTGACATTATTCAAGACCTCCAATATCTCACAAACTTGTAGTTTTCCATAGATTGTTACCCAGACGTTTCAACGTACCCTTGTCATCTGAAGATTATGAAACTGAATTAAAAACTAAAGCAAATTGCTGTTAACAGTGGTTATACAACAAAGTTAATAGACACATTGTTGTTTAAGAAATTGAAAGCCAAAAATTTTAAATCAATATATTCACATACTGTACCAAACAACAACAAAAAGAAAAAGAACTGGTTTAGTTTGAGCTACATTTACAACCTCCTCACAAAATGTATAACACACTGTACAAAACTCTACAGACCGGCCTTCTACTGTAAAAATATCCTAGGACAAATTTTGTGCGACAACAAAGACAGAATCAAAAAGTACAACATCAGTGATGTTTACCAATTAATATGTCAAGACTGTGATAGTATGTATATATAGGTCAAACAGGACGTTCCATAGAAACAAGAATTAAAGAACACCCTAGAAAACATATAGAACTTTCTATCTTTATAAATATGTATCTTACAGTACATGATTTTCCTATTGAGTATGTTCAAGGGGTTGATTACTTAATCAACCCTCTTATGAATGAATTGTAATATTTTTGTTGGAGAGTTCTTGGAAATATAAAACTTCTTATGTGAGCATACACATAATTTTTACATAAGTAATCCACCAATAGGGGGTAACACATCCGCCATGTGCAGTAAATCCCATTAACACTAGTGTTTCAAAAAACTCATTCTTGACTAGGGAAAATAAACACTAGAAGAGGGGAGGAAGGGTGGGAGATTCTGTGGAGGGGTGAGTATCTATCTGAAATACATCTTCAGTTAAATAAAACTAACTTCAGAAATGCTGCTCACCTTTTCATAGAACTAAGAGCCAGAATCCTCATCATGAGAAAATCGAATCCTGTTGTCCTTCAGCACTACCTATCAGTCAAGATGTGTTTGTGTTTACTGCATTCAAACTCAAGTATTTCTATTATAACACACTATGTGACTTAATTTTATTGAAATAGAACTTGTTTTAAACTATCACTTTTGCACACATCTATTAATAAAATTTGAACAATATTCTTTAGTAATACCCAAAAAAAGCAAACATTTTACAACAATTTTTTACACTTCACTTTTGATGATTATTATTTTTTGTGGATGGCCTCCATAGAAATTAGTGAGTGGGAATTAACATGGTCCAATAATATTGTGTATAGCATTTTGCCAGTTTATTTAAACCAGTCTAGACAGATCATGGTTGAAAGCAGAGACCTAGCTAGGTGCTGGCACACAGGGTCCATGCCCTGATTCTATTTCACAATACTCCAAATCCCCAGTTGGTGTTTTCAAAAAATCAGAATTGAAAATAATGATTGATATCGTACTGAAATGCCGAATATTCCCATGTCTATAGGCCCAAGCCCTGGATCTTTTAAGTACTTAGTGATGCCTCTGGTTGAAACATGTTTCACTGAATAAAACTTTGTTGCTGATGAATAATGTATTCAAACATTTCACGTGTAAAATATAATGGATATTTGTCTGTTCAATGCATAGAAAATGACGTATGGGGATTTGCAGTATACAAAGCCTTATACTTGTGGAGTGAAAATTTATTTTAGAAGTTTGGTTTCATTTATAATACTTCATAGAAGAGTATATTGTTATAATAGGAAAAACCATCTTCAGATGAATATTTTGAGGTTAAAAGAACTGCAGTTAGGGTAAAGTTTACAGTTTTAATATCTCTTATTTGCAGTTGCATGCACATGAAAACAAAAGGAAAATAATGGATAATTTATTTAAAAATTTATGTATCTAAATAGTGTAAACATGCTTTAATTTTTTACTGTATTTGTATTAAAACACTGGACATTGATTTTATCACCCCTGTGAGCAAACTTAGTAGCAGTTAGAGGTGGCATCAAAATTGTATGCTGATCCAGAATAAAAGTCTGTCTGTATGTCTGGTAACTCCTCCTAGACTACTGGAGCTACTTCAGCTACATTTTGTATGTGTCCTTGAGGGATCAAGGCCAATTCATAAAAGTGTAACATAAAACTTGCTTCATAAAAGATTTGAGACAGTGCGTGGAAGACCAATACAAGTTAAACAGGTAACTATAGATTCAAACATTTAGGAGAACTCTGACAAACTCAAAATAAGTTAAACAGCCATATGTAGGTTAAAACATCTTATAATACACTGTAGACCCTGTACCAGTGAATAAAAGCATGGAATTTTCTAAACTAGTAAAATTGGCATTTGCTTAAAACAATGTTTTGGGACAACATGGGACCTATTAGTCCCTCTTGGCTGTTCCGTCCTCTAAACTAAATTAATTTTTTTTTTAAATTCTTAAAGCCAGCCCTTATCATTCATATAATTATCAAGCTTCTTCTTAAACTCCCTTAAATTTACTGCCTCTACAACATCCAAAGGCCAACCACCCTGTTAGAAAAATGAAACTATCTTAGCTGAAGGTGATGCCTACCTTGCCAAAATTTATATTTGTCCCCTAGTCCTACTATTCTCA